CAGGATCTATTGTTTGTAGCCACACCTGTTGTCAACAACATTGAAAGAGCAAAAATAAGCCAAATTCTAACCTTCAGTCAAGGTAGAACAGGCTCTCATCTGTCGGCCTCTTCAAGTTTATATCACAACAGTGTACCTTTGGTGGTCTTCAGAAGTTTAAAAGAATTATTAAATGTGGTACATTTAAAATCATTGGAATGCATTTTCTAAAGATTGAGATAGAGTTAAAATTTATTTTAATATATGCATGATAAAGCTATTGAGAAATTATTCTTAAATTCTATCCATCTGTTTGTCTCTCTAAAATGTAACGAATGGGATGCATAGCATTGGGCACACAGGAGCTTGGTAGTAGCTGAGTAGTCATGAAAGTTTTGTTTCAGTTACATATTCTGTGACTTGAAAACTCTGGTGTGCAAAGAAAATCACTCTGAAAATACCTCTCTGCCCTAAATGTACCTGCTAAGCCTCAGATGCTTATCCATGGCTGATGTGGTTTTATTTCTTCCCATGTCTCTTTGCTGTAGCTGGGGAGAGCTGCAGTCTTACCATGGAAATAACACTTCATAGTTTTTTTTTTTTTTAGCTTGCTTATAGACTTAAGAAAGTAAAATGTAATTAGACCCAGAAATTGCCTGTTCATGTCCTACTCGAGATGGTGTTGAAACTCTTGTTTCATGATTGTTACCTATGGAGTCAATTTATCATTGAAATAATAAAAGCCCCATGGAGATAACATTTCTCTTGCTGCCAAAAGTCACTCGCATAGGAGTCTTTATTGACTTTTCAATTTATTAAATTTAGTTTTTTTTTCAATAGCACCTGACTTTTAGTCTTTAATTTGAATTTAAATTCTTAATTTACATGTCAGCAATTATTTGCATGTAGGATAAAATACTTTTGTTGGGCATGGAGACTGGGAAGCCTGAAGTAAAGTTTCTTTACTTATGTTTTACCATGCAGTTATCACAGAATGCTAATGCCTATAACTGATATAGGTGCTCATGAACTCCAGATATTCAAATACACATCTCTGTGAGATTACACACAAATGGTTTTATGTCTGGATAAGTGTATTTTTTTCATAAATCCAGGAGGTATTATATTTTCAAGAAAACTGTAATTTGATTGCTACCTTTGCTCCTTTTCACCACTTGACATGAACGAGGAAGCGAGACCTGACTGTGGCTTACCAGATTACATCACAATATCACTGGAAGGAGATGCCCCCTGAAATACTGAACAGCAAACACAGAGAGGAAGGATTGGGGGTAATTTGTTCGCTGAGTTGTAGTTGTTTTTTTTTTTTTTTTTTTCACTCTTTGGGGTCCTGCCACCCAACTCTCAAATAAATTTACCTATTCTTATTCTGACTTCTAAATGCCACAGCCTACTTGGCTTGTTTCTAGCCAGCTTTAAAAAATTATCCAGTCTACATTTTGCCTCTGGGTTTTTAACTCTTTTTTTATTCTATATCCCATTTTTTTCCATCTTTCCTTCATTTCTCCACTCTCTCCCTCGTCTCTTATTCTTCTATTTATTCTCTTTGCCTGCAAGTCTCACCTTTTTCTCTCTCCTGCCTTCTTTTGGCCAATCAGCACTTTATTAGACCAATCATGTGTTTTAATTAGGCACAGTAACACAGCTTCAGAATTAAGCAAATGTAACATAAGAGAATGCAACATGTCTTTAAGTAATATTTCAGAGGTCTAAGCTCTTTAAGCAAATGTGGGCTAATGTTTATTTATTTTTTCATGGTTCATTCCAACGGATAGTACCAGGATGGAAAGATATGGCTTGCGTTGCATCAATGTAGATTTCTCAAATGAAATAAAGTATTGTAATGTGACATGAACCTTATTCTTCACAATGAAGTCACTAGACAAATTATTCAGCACCTAACTCACCTTCTGTTCACACTGATACAAATTCCTTTGCATAGCAGCAAGTGGTCTGTTACATGTCAATTACTTTTAAAGTTAAAAGGCTTTCTAATACCAATGTCAACTCTAAAAGGAAAGTGTTAACACCAGTTGATAGGGACCTTGGGGAAAGGTTGAAGAGGGGAGGAGAGAGGCAGGGAGGGGAGCAGAGAAAAATGTAAAGCTCAATAAAAATCAATAAAAAAATCTTAATTTTGTAAATTTTAAGTTAATATCCAGAACTAATTTTTATAACCTCATCTCAAGCTTACCCAACTCTAGAAAAAAAAGACAAAGATCATAGAAGGGGTTGGGTTTTTAAGCTGTTTTGTTTTGAGGCAGGATTTCCTGTCTAACCCAAAGGGCCTGGTGCTTGGCATTTAGAAAAGACCAACTTCAAACTCATGATCCTCCTCTCTGAGGCCTTGTTTACTGTGTTTTTAAGTACCAGCATAGTCAGCTGAGGTTTTTCATTTTTAAGTATATTTTTATAGTTTAAACTGTTCGGAGACTTTGCTACAGTCACAGAGTGTGTTTATCCCAATGGCTTTAAATACTGGACGTAACACAAGCCAATCAAAATAAGTCCCTATGTTGTGGTGCATTAGTAACAGGGTGACAAACTAACTCAAAAACAACTTCAAAATTCCATTTTGTTTAGACATTTAGAAAATAATAATCAGGTCAAACGGAACCCAGGCTAACATAAAATGCAATCAGGATTGTGTGCTTTGTTGATAGATTTATTTTTTAATTGCACACTCAAAGTTAGTTTAAAGTTAGTTTGTTGTCAATAGTACAGAGTGAATCCAGTGAAAAAATAATATTTCGATGTATACATTTATCATTATGCTCTAATAAATACGTTCTCTTTAATGTTGTTTTCATAAAGTAAGTTATTGTGCAAAATATATAGTTATACATATCCACCAGTAAATTTTATATAGTCTTAGGTCACTAGCTATAAATGGATGATGTTAGCATTTGTAAATAAACAGTTCATATATTTTTACTTCTGGCTACTAAAAACAGTCACACACCTGAGCATCATTTAGAGTTGTCAGAAAAAGAACAGGACATTTGTATTGCCAGGATTAACAGTGTTCAAATGCCATTCAACTGAGAGTCCTATGGCTGGTGTCAGTTACCTGAATACATTCATAGCTTACCTTAAAACTTATGTGTGAAAAGTATATTGGAATACATGTGAAATTGGGGTGTCTTTTTATCTAGTCTCATTTATTTTAAAAAATCTATTAACTTGTAATCATTGGTGTTTATATACTAATGGTATATATAACTGTTTGCGACTTATATCATAATTATTTTCCACACACAAGCAAATGAATAAAGAGGGCCAATGCTATCGAGCAAGGGAGAAACTTAGATGCTTTTTTTCTTGTTCAAGCCGCAAGTTCAGTGTGGCTGTCACAGTCATTCCGTGGCTCCGGGAAAGCTGCATCCTGGTTGAGATGCAGCTGGAGAGGTGGACTGTCTTCCTGGGACACTTGCCGACTCTTTCTAAGAGCAGAGAGCACATGCTATCCTTATTGGCCATTGCAGTGTCTGGCCATGTGGGAATCACTTGAGCTGCATGATAAACAGAGGTTGCTGGACTAAGACAGATCCCTGAAGTGGTCTTACAGCCTGCATTTGCCTTCACATAGACCAGTGATTTGGTCAGTTGTGGAACCGGGTATTAATGGTTCCTCCCAACCCACTTTCATTCTCTCTCATCACCGAGTTGCTAGAATATATTTGATATCTGAATATGAATAGTAGAGCCTCATTAGCAATCTAAAGCTTGTCGGCATCTGACTGAGGAAACACAGAGGGGCAGTGCTCTTTCAAAGCAGTTATCTTTGATTGCAGGGCAGACATACCCTGATATTTCACACTGAGGTCCGGAATGCAATGTCAGCCAGTCTCAGAGAAATTCAGAATACACTTCATTGTATTCTTCTTTTCTCTAGAAGACACTACTGCGCAGTCACGGTTCTGCTTTCCCAGTCACTCCTTGTCTATTTGTTTTTCGTGATTTCCTTTTTAATTTTTCTCCATCTATTTTATAGAATACTCAAGCAGTGATTTGATTACTGAATTATGACGGTGGCCTTTTACAACCTAATTAAAAATAACTATGAGGTTGTTGCTATGGGAGATAATTTTATTGGATATACTTTATAATTAATTATATATCGATATAGTCAAGTGTCATTAATTAGTCTAATTATAAGATGTAATCACTAGGATAGTCGTGGCGGTTCACTGCTGTCTAATAGTCAGGGTTTGGAATTTTGTTTGATCTCAATGACTACTCCAATCCCTTCCTTTTAGATTATTCTCCCTTTCTTTGTGGACATATTAGATTTTCTTAGCTAGTTCTAGAGCATCAGCTACTTAGGTAACAAATAAAATATCCTAAAGACAGCCTTTTAAAGAAAAAATGAACAACAACAAAGTATAATAGATAAGAAGGTTCCAAACTACTGTCTCACTGCTTAACAAGACATGACAATATACATGAAGTATGGTAGTGGCATATTTTAACTATGTTTAAGTTTGAAAATATTAAAAGATCTATGGACTATCAGGCTGTTCTTTTGGTGTCTACCTGCTTTAGGTGTAAGTCACATGTAACCTACAAACTTTCATTTTTAAAATAAAAGTAAGATGGGAAAAATATGAGAATACAGAAACCGGAAATAAGTATTAAATGTTGTCACGTTTATAAGTATTGACTTGGATATAAAAGAAAATAAACTTCTGATCAGTAGGTTATGAATAGCTATGTAATAAAATTAGTCAGACACTACCTCTCTGTATAACTTACCTTTGGTTTCTGCACTGTTTAGCTGGCTTAGACAGTAGGAAATGCATTTCTAGAAAATGTTTGTGTTGTGTCTATTGGCAATATCATGTGGCCACTCTCCTTGGAAAAATCAGTTTGGCAGACTGTGCATCAGAGTTTATCTTGGACTAATTATGATGTCTTATGTTCATTTGTTACATGTGGCAGATGGACAGATGTCTTGATATGAGTACTAAGTCTTTTGCTTTACCTTCACTGTGTTACAGAGACCCTGGAAACCCTCATCCGGCAAGCAGAGAATTACACCAGCATCCTTTTCTGCAACACCTACAGGAACATGGCCTTGGAGGCTGCCGCTTCCATTCAGGAGTTTTTCACTGATGTAGGGCTCTATTTATTTGGCGCAGATGTTAATCCTGAAGAATTTGTAAATAGATTTTTTGACAATCTTTTCCCTCTGGTCTACAACCATCTCATAAACCCTGGTGTGACTGACAGTTCTCCCCAATACTCAGAATGCATCCGAATGGCCCGCCAGAATGTTAGTCCGTTTGGCAATATCCCCAGAAGAGTCATGGGCCAGATGGGGAGGTCCTTGTTGCCCAGCCGCACATTTCTACAGGCGCTTAATCTGGGCATCGAAGTCATTAACACCACGGACCATATGCACTTCTCCAAGGAATGCAGCCGAGCCCTCCTGAGGATGCAGTATTGCCCGCACTGCCAGAGTCTCATGCTCAGTAAGCCCTGTATGGGGTACTGCCTCAATGTCGTCAGGGGCTGCCTGGCCCACATGACAGAGCTCAATCCACACTGGCATGCTTACATCCGGTCCTTGGAAGAACTCTCAGATGCCATGCATGGGACCTACGACGTTGAGCACGTGCTCCTGAACTTCCACCTGTTTGTGAATGATGCTGTGCTGCAGGCGCACCTCAGCGGACAGAAGCTACTGGACCAGGTGAGCTGCCTCTCTGTGCCTCCCACCTCATTTCCTGGAATGCAAAGACTAGGCAGGTTGCACCCCAAATTTTGTGACATTTCATTTTCATATTCTTCACATTCTTATCAGCATAATGAATCTGTTCTCTAAGAAATAGTTGCAAGATGAGTGGATAGACATTCTATCTATTTATGCCAAAACTTCGAACAGCAAAAACAATATTTTACCCACTAAAGTAGACAGTTTTTCGAATGGTTCAGTGATCCTGGGAGAGATCAAGCTTAAATCAGGAACAACATCGATTTGAGTTAGAATGCAAAATTAACTAGCAACGTGAAAGGAGGTGAGAGTTTAAGTCTCTGGTCCTTAATCCCCTCCTTGCTAAGAAGACAGCCCTGCAGATGTCTCCCGCAGCATCCCGTTTTGAGAAGGCATTATTTATGCAAACTGTCTGTCGAGCACCTGTATGTAAAAAGACAGGCTGCCGTCGTCGGACTGCTGTTGATAAGAGGTTTCTAACTTCCTAGCTTTAGAATGGGAAAACACTGCTTCTGCATCCGTGAAGTTAAGGCTTGATACCTCGGTGAGCAGAAGCGTTTCTTAGGATTTTGACAAAGTGGCGGAGTGACAGCTAGTGAAAACCTGAGCTGGGCCCTCTCTTGTTTGATTTCTAGCAAAATAAGAATCTTTCGCGACAAAACCATCAAGTAAGGGGTGCTAGAGTTTTCTCTCTCTCCAGCTTCCTGCGGAGCTCTTTAAAAATATTCTCAGGCTCCTTCGGTAAAGCTGCTCATGTTTCATAGAGTGAAGTGGGATGTGCTGGGAATGTTTCTCCTGAAATAAAACGAATACTCTCTAGTACCAAGACAATCCATCTTCCTGCAGTGACATTGATTTACTGACTTAACAAATATTCTCATCACGAGGTCTGTATGTCAACTCTTCATTTCTGGTAGAAGGTGGACTTGAAAATGTTTGGGTTTTACTACTACCTTCCAGTTCTTTTGCCTTTGTGAGCTGCTCCGGGGCCTTTAGTAAACTAGAAATAGCGCCCTCTGGTGGCTGCGATGTAAGCGTGTGGCATTCACTGGATTTCAACCCCCAGATTTTTTATTTTGCCATTTTACAACTAGTGTTCAAAATAATAGGTTTCATTATAACATTTTCATGTAACAATCACTGTGTCTTTTCCGTATTCACCTTCTAATGCCTTCGCTCTTTATCTTTTCTCAATTTGATATAAATAAATCTCATTTCTTGGTCTTTTCTCCTCAATTTATGTCAATCAACTACAGCATAGACTTCTAAAAGAACTTATCGCACCAAAAAATTAATAGTTTCAAAATTTAAACAGTAAATATAATATCTATATTATGATGACGAATGTGTCCAGAGGAAATATATGTACTATAATCTGAGATCAACTCTATAATTAGTGTTTTCAGTTTTTTCTTTCTGTTTTAATTTTTTTACTGATTTTATTGAGTTATATATTTTCCTCTGCTCCCCTTCCTTCCTTCCCCCTTCTGTTTTATTATTTTTATGTATCTGAGCATTTGCCTGCACATGTATCTATGTAGTATGAGTGTGACTGATGTCCACAGAAGTCAGAAGAGGTCCCTGGACATAATAGATGTAGTGAGCCTGCCATGTGGGTCCTAGATGAGAGCCCAGTTCTCCAAGAGAAACAAGTGCTTTTCACCTCTGAGTCATCCCTCCAGGCCTCAGAGTTTAATTTTGGTTTGTGGTATGCTGGTTAAAACTTTGGGCCAGGGATTTCCGATGTATGTAAGAGAATTGATGTTTCAGGTCCCCTGTGCTATGCATTTTTGAGAACCACAGTACCTTTTTGTATTTTAAAGATCCATCACCTTTAAATTTATCTATTTCTCCTCTTTCAAAGGCTGAAATAACATAGAACTTCAGTGGACACACAGGCATGATTTTAAACCTAGCAGTGTCTACCCACAGCCTAGGCAAACTGTTCACAGTGCTCTATCTGAATGTGGCTTGTACGGCAAGGACGGTAGGGGTGGATTAAGTGGGATAACATTGGTCAGTCACTGGAGCTGGATTTGTGGCTACCTGCTATTTTCTTTCCCTATTCCAAGGTCAGCCCTGGTCAATCCTCGGTTAAACTGGTTAAACTTAGCAGTTGTACCACTATTGCAAATGTGGGTACAACTTTTTTGGGCAGGTGGTTTTTGTTATATAATTCTCACATGCGTAAAACCATTGCTAACTATTTTACTACTGTAGTCCACATGGTATCTTCTGTCATCTGAAAGCAAACTCAACTCTATTTCAAATTATTAGTATCAGGTTTGTGTTCTAAGAATCCATTTTAAAGAAAGCTTTCATACCATGAAATTCTCAGGGAACATTACAGAAAAGATGATGAGAAGTGTAGGCAAGTCGAAGAACCGGGCCAAGAGTTACAAAGGACACTGAAGTTATGAACTCACAGCACTGCGGCTTGTAGGATTTGCCTTGTCCACAATTACACCCCTCTATGTCTCTCTCTTTCATTCTCTTTAATCTGTTTAGTAATTAGATTTGCCTTTTGACAGTTTCACACAATAAGGAATCCTGAGCGTTCTTACCGCTGCCCTCACTCATCTCTCTCCTATTCTGCCTGCTCCTCCTTCCTAGAAATCTTTCCCACATTCATGTCTATTCCTTTGTTTTATGAATCACTGAGTTTCCCAGGGCCGCTGGTATGACCATGGGCTTGGAGCTATTTGTTGGAACTTCAATAGACGATGACTTCCTTTGTCCCAGAATCTATCAGTAGCCAATGGTTCAGTCATAAAATGTAGGGTTCTGTGTGCCTCTCTCCCTTCCATGATTGACTATTGACAAAGTCAGTGTTGTACTGGCTTCAGGAAGGTAATCATGGCTCTACGCTCATGGTTGGAACAGCTGTGTTGGTGCTCGAGGACAGGATTTCACAGCTCCTCCTCTAATCCCCTGACTCTTAGATATATCCTGTCTTCTCTTCCACAGTGCTCCTTGGATATTAGAGGTGGCGCTGTTTTATTTATGCTACGTAAATGTATAAATGTGCTGTAGGGTTGCGGCTGGACTGTCACTTATTTTCAGGGTCTTGCATTGCTTGCCATTCACTGAAAAAATGGACCTCTGTGATTAAAGTGGTGAGCAAGTTTATTGTTGTTTTGTTATGTGTATGTTTGTGTGTGTTATAAACATAGGTATATAAGAGGCCCTTTGATGCTGTGTCTTATTTAAACAGCAGTGATAACTTCCCTCTTGAGTTTCTAACTCCCCAGACATGGGCTGTTGTTAACTACACGGACAGTGTCAGGTATGGACACACTTGTATTGACTGGGCTTCAAATTAAATCATAAGGCTGTTGATTACCCCCCTACCCAGCAGTTGTACCACTACTGCAAATGTGGGTACAACTTTTTTGGCAGGTTGGTTTTTGTTTATATAGTTCTTACATACATAAAGCCATTGCTAACCATTTTACTATTGTAGTCCATACGGTATTTTCTGTCATCTGAAAGCAAACCAACAGGGAGGAAGTTTCAGCTAATCATTAGCTTCCTCTACATCCTACAACGAGGTATGTGGTGTTGGCAACAATAGGGACTTACAGGAGATTCCTGTTTCAGGAACCAAAAAGAAGTCTGATTTCAGAGAAAATAAAATGGTCTGATACGTATTTTAAGGAACATAATTATTACTAACAAACTGTGGATTACTTTTCAAATAAAGCAATGGAGATCCTTATTTTCACTTATTTGGAAAGAAGAAGAAGAAGAAGAAACTGACTTTAAGTTCCTTGTAAATGGACTCATTAATATTTATTTGTGCCAGCTCCAAAGTGATTTATAAACTGTTTATCAAGTTTTGATAACCAGTTCACATATCAATGATTTCAACAAATTCAAAATAAATTGTTAGAGAGTAGCAAATAATGGCTCTTTCACGTTCCCAAAGCAATCTGTGAACTCAAGCACTTCTCCGTGTATTCCTCAATAAATATGCATTTCCGCTTAAAGGAATCCATAGAGGAGCTGATGTATCATGCTCTGTTGAAGGGATTTCAGCCTGAAATAAAAATAAATCCTTAATTTATTGACAAAATCGTAAGCATTGCACACACACACACACACACACACGCACACACACACACCTGCCAGCAAGAGAAGCTTGTTTAGAAAGACTGTTCTTTAAATTCTATAGTTTTTTTTCCCTGTAGTTTAGCTCAGAATTTAACTTAATAAACTAGAAACAGAGCCAGAAAGACTGGGATTAAAAACACAGGCAGTTGTGTGAAGCTGAATCATGCACCTGCCTGCACCATCTTCTATTACAGGTAGGTTTCAACCTTTAAAATACAGTTCTTCATGTTTTGGTGATGCCCCAACCATAAAATTATTTCAGTTGCTACTTCATAACTGTAATTTTGCTACTGTTATGAATAGAAATGTAAATATTGGATATACAGGATATCTGATATGCAATCTCTGTCAGAAGGTTGTTTGAACCCCAAACAGATAGCAATCAACAAGTTGAGAAACACTTGTCTAGCAGTAGACAGAACATTTCCTTTTTAATTTAGTTTGCTCTCAGGTTAAATGTGGCAATCACAGCCCCGTATCTAGAGCGTCAGGAAGCCTAAGATGAGCACTTGTGCTTAGTGTTTGCTACAAGGTGTTTAAGCCATGCAGAGTTTTTGTCAAGTTATCTGTGCTGTGCAGTATAACTAGTGATTTGTCTGGTTGCATCCACATTACATTAGAATCAGTATATGATTCACTTTTGAATTATAAATCATTTCAAAATTGCAGTTAAGATTGATTGTGCAAACCCATGTAACTTAATTAGCTGGTAAGAGAACAATTATCTCATTCTTCCTATATACACTAAAATTTACCTAGTTCTGTAAAAGGACAGTAACATCTTATACTCATAAGTATGTCAACCACATTCTTGTATAAAAATTGAAAGTAAACATTGAAATGGTAACTTGGATTAATAAGAATATCTGCTCCTCTTCCTCTAGTATGTGGTACTCATTTTTTTATAATCTTGTTGTCCATGAGGCTGCGTAAGCTGGTGCAAAGAATAAAGAAAGAAAGAGCAAACTAGAAAACAGTTGATACCCATGATCGCTTAAATAAAACAGAATGCAGATACTTTAAATTAGTTATCTAAATGCAAACATGGCACTTAGCTTGATACCCATCCCAGTGTTTGCTCAGGAGCAGTTGATGTGGTGGAGGATGGTGGGTTTCTAAGTGGTGGGAGCAAAAAGGCAGATAAGCACATGTTTGGGGTGTAGCATAGTCAATAACCGACTGTGGATTAGTTTTCAAATAAAACAACTGAGATTCTCATTTATATTTATTTGAACCACAAAATCCGAATAACCACCTCTCCTTAGAAGACTAAATGCATGGGCATACAGGAAAGTAAAGCATCACATGTTATAGAAGGATGTTAAAATGTTCCTTCTTAAAAGGTCAAAGACTACAGGGGAAAGACCTAAGGGTAAAACATAGGTATCCTTATTTTTAAGATAACTCATGACGATTCCAAGATTTGGTTTATAGAGTCATTAAAGAGAGTTTAAACATGTCTTTCATTTTGTAGTTTATTTGGCTATGTAGTGTACCATTTTGAACATGACACATAAGAATTTACATAGTTCTCACAGAGGGAGCTCAGAAGAAACAGAATTCTGGAGTTGCTATATGTATTGCTAGAATATATAAAAAAATTGACAAGGGCAGTTAAATGACTCAATTGGTAAAAGCAGTCGACTCTAAGCAAGATTCCTTGAGTTCCATCCTCATAACTCACATGTTAGAAGGAGAGAAAGAGCTACTTAAAGTTGACCTCTGACGATCCTAAGTTTGTAATGTCATGTATGTACTCTTCAAGAATAATGTAAAACATACAAGCTGCAAAGACACTGTTGACAAGAAGAACTTTCACTCATGTACATGCTGTACTTTGCTGCCATGGAGTAGAAGGTGGTGACCAGAAGTTCTGTATCAGCTACCTGACGGCTCTGAAATTCATTCATACTATGTGGAGGATATAATTTTTACCTTTGTTTACCTTTTGTTCAGCTTCTATGGATGGTTGATACTGGGTCTGTGTCTTACATAGGGCTTCAATTTTCTGTAGTATTGCACAGTACCTGGGCAGAAGAGAAATGAGACATGAAAATTAAACCAGTAACTGTTGTAGAGCAGAAGTCTAGGCTTACATGGCAAGGAACAGCTTAAGAGAGAAGCATTCCAAGTGGATTGAGCAGTAACAGAGAATTCTTCTCCAATAAAGAGGAACAGGAAAGTTCCAACTTACAAAAAGCTCACACAATACTGCTCATAGTTCCATAAATAGTATTTAGAAAGGGTTCAACCACTGACAGATGGACATCCAGTGATGCTGGAGAATGTGTTCCTCAGCAGTACCTGCATTGAGCATGAGGTCATAATTAGTAGTTTTTAGTTTCAATGGCAGGGTTATTGTATTCTTCTCTAACACAGAGCAAAAATTTAAGGCAAGTCTAAGAGTAATAACCCCCACTGATTTTCTGTTCAAGAAATGTTACAGCTTAGAGGTCCTTCTAGAACAATGGTTCTCAACCTTTCAAATTTTGTGACCCTCTTCTACAGTTCCTTATGTTGTGGTGACCCCCATCCATAGAATTATTTTTGTTGCTACTTCATAACTGTAATTTTGCTACTATTATGAATGATAATGTAAACATCTGTGTTTTCTTATGGTCTTAGGCAACCTCTGTGAAAAGGTCATCTGACCTCCAAAAAGGATTGCAACCTGCAGGTTGAGAACCACTGTTCTAGTATGTTTTTACTCTCTGGTGATGGATTTTCTTCACGTGCCTGATTGTACACATGTTCCTCACTTAGGGAAGATTTCTCATCTGCATATGAATCTGAAGGGTGATGCGAATGAGTGGATTCAATTTGATATTTTTCTTGGTACCCTTTAAGATAAGGTCTTATATAGTCCTGGATAGTCCTGAACTCAATATGTAGCCAAGGATAACCTTGAACTTCTGATCTTTCTATGCAATACTGGGGTTATGAGACCAACAGCTCCACATTAAACTTTTATTTTGACCATTTGGTAACTTTCTAAAGGCTGAGATGATTGACAGTGAAGGCCAATCAATACTCAAGTTCCTCAGTTGTAAAATTTTAAATTCTTTAAAAAGACATCAGTGAGCTTGAATAATTTTTGAATATATATTACAGAGGAAATTGAACTCGTGTGGTTAATTTTTAAATTAGTCTTTCTGAAGAACAATGTGACATAAATTTCTTTAAAATCAGTAATGAGTGTCATGAGATTTTACTTTTGTCTGATTTCCTAAGAAAAGAAATATAATTAAAGTTCTTACGAATACTCTCAGGTCTGTATAGCTGTCAAAATCCAGAAAAGTCGTCTTCCATGTTTGTGAGTAGTGACACACGTTATGAAGTTCTATGTATATGTTAACTGACATCTATGATACATCGGAATATAAAGCTTAAAGACAAAAGGAAGTCATGACCACCTTCCTTTTCTAGTATTTGAGGGCCAATCTTCACTTTCTTCTCAGACACCATCTTCCTTGACAGCATGGTTCAATTTCATTTTAAACACAGCAGGCAAAATAATCACTTATATCCTTCCCAATTAACTTCAATATCATTTGTTTATTTTCATTAAATTACAGAATATTCTCTGACATATCCAAGTATGATGATCCTGTGTTTTGTTCAAAGACTTATTATCATTAGAACATTATAGATTCTGGTTCAAAAGTTCCACAGTTTTCCAGTAAAAATTACTTATCACAAAATTCAAACACACTGTTTTAAGGCTAATCCAGTAGATGTTGGTTTGAGTTTGAAGGTTCACAGTAAGTAAGAGGGGGTCTTTGGGGTTGATAACTTACACTGAGTAGTGTTGGCAACATGATGGATCCTCTAGAAACAAACTGTGCTGTCACTATCCCGGTGTCATTGTGGAGTCTAAATTCAGGTACAGTGCCTGTCATCTCTTCAGTTTCCCCTGTACAAAGTGAATGAATGTAAACCTTTTGTATTCCTGCCACCAACCTGTGCTGAAACTTCAAAGGTCTGTGTTAGTGGTCTGAAAACTCTGAAACAGTACAAGTCAGCAATGATAATTTTTGAAGGAAGTTTTGAGAACTGATCTCTAGTTTTTTAACTTATACATTAAATAATATATCACAGAGATGTGACTGAAACTCAGCACCTCATAGGTTACAATTGTAGTATGCCAATAGGGAAATAAATTTATACATATAA